TCGATTTCATCCTGGACACTACAGAAAATGGGCTAAAAGTGTTAAAAACCGGAATTTTCCTTTAAGCTTTGATTAGCTAGCCACATGTTAGCATTACTTTAAACCTTCCCTCCAAACATCTGTCTGTGATTCCAGATGTGTCTCCCTGCTGTTCCCACCATGATGGACGTCACAGGTCAGTTCGATGTGGAGTTTCGCATCACAGTGGCGTGTCGTAATGGCAGCATCTACATCCTGCGCAGGTGAGGAACGGCTGCTCTGGAGTGCGGCGGAGCGGCGGAGCTGGACTCTCATGGCTGTTTGTTCCGCAGGGAGTCGGAGAAACCAAAGTACTGCATCGAGCTGCCGTCCCACCCGGTGGGGCTGGTGAGGGTCGGGAAGAACGTGATCGTGGGATGCAGCGACGAGAGCCTGCAGGGCTTCACTCAGAAGGTAGAGACCTGATGGCAGGAAGTGATGTAAGAAACCCTCAGTTTGACACGCTGTGGTTGATTCCTCAGGGGAAGAAGCTGTGGAGGATCCCGCTGCCCGCTCCCATCACCACCATGGCCGCCATGGAGCTCCCCGCCAGGGGCCTTCAGGCGGTGCTGGTAGGCCTGGCGAACTGCCAGGTCCAGCTCTACAGGGACAAGAACCTGCTCAGCACCATTAAGACGCCCGACGCCGTCACCAGCATCTGCTTCGGTCGCTACGGCCGTGAAGACGGGACCCTCATCATGACAACGAAGGGCGGGGGCCTCATGGTGAAGATCCTGAAGAGAACTGCGGCGTTCGACGAGCGGGACGGCGCACCCGGCCCGCCGCTAGCTCAAAGCGTCCGCCTCAATGTTCCCAAGAAGACCAAGCTGTACGTGGACCAGACGCTGAGGGAGCGGGAGAACGGGCTGGCCATGCACCGCGCTTTCCACATGGACCTGAGCCGCATGAGGCTGGCCGCCGCCAGAACCTACTTCAAGGTTCTGGAGTCCAGCCTGACCCCCATGTCCTGCAGCCTGTCAGAGCCGCTCAAGATGAACGCCGTAGTCCAAGGCCTGGGCCCATCCTTCAAGCTGACCCTCAACGTCCAGAACACGGCGTCCTGCCGGCCAGTCATGAACCTGGCCATCAGCTTCCTGTACGATGACAACCTGTACCGCATCAGGAACGCGTATATGAGGATTCCGCTGCTGGTTCCTGGACTCATCTACCCCATCCAGACGTTCGTGGAGTGCGTCAGCGACAAGGGCGTCTCTGACATCATCAAGGTCTTTGTGCTGCATGAGGAGAAGAGCGCGCCTCTGCTTACAGCTCACATCAACATGCCGGTCAGCGAGGGGCTGATGCTCAGCTGAGCCTCGCCGGTTCCAGTCAACTGCTGGAGGACAGAATCTTCCAGCTCCCCTGATCTCTGCCACCCTCAGATCTGTAACGTCTTAGATCAACGCGTTCCTGCTGTTCTTTGTTAACGATGGCAAAGCTAATGCTTCAGACTTGAGGGCGACTTGCCCCAAAATCAACCAGATTTTCATTTTTTGATGTCTAATAGCATTATTTTGACTGTTTACTGCTTATTTATCATCTTTTTTTCTAAATCTGACTCGGTGGCGCCCTCCTCTGGTTGAAAATGGTTGCTGCATCTTATTTTTCTTTTTTTTGTCTTTGTGTTTATCAAATTACACAGTTAGCAGGTCTAGGCTTAAGGCAGGCAAGAATACAAAGATTACAAACAAACAAAGTTCAGCAGATGACATCATATGAATTAATAATAATGTCTTTAAGGCTTTGAATCAGTGCAGCACTTTAAAAAAGCCAAATATGGAGATAGATTGGCAAAGAAACATTAAATCTGGAAAATGTACCACTGTGGATCTGATTTGTGGTCTTAAAACATTTGACAAAATCTGTATAGTTATTAGCGTGCTTTGGTGGAGCAGTGGTTAGCGTGCGTCATCCATGTACAGAGGCCTTACAGGCTGGTTATCCTCCTGCAGCAGTGTGTCGCAGTGAGCTTGTTGCAGATATTTTTGATTTATGCTCAATATTGCAGCGTGGTCTGCGCTATGTTATTCCACGCCACAATGCAAGAGGGACAATCAGGAACTAGTTGTGGGTCTAAATACGGCCGAGGCGGTAAGGAAGTGGGAAGTTTGTTCTACAACGGAGAGACGAGGGCTAAAAAGAGCAGGGATCCAGGTGTAAAAAGCGCCCCAGCGTTCTCACGCACCTCGCTCTTCTAGCTGGTCCATCTTCACCAGTCGTTTTCCACAATGGCGGTCATACAAACAAAACAAGCCGGTAAGGAACCAAACAGGAAATATGCATAGAGTAGAGCGGTTGTAGAATTGACCGATCAGAGGCGTCCTGTCTGTCTACAGTCACCTATAATTTGGGGGAGGTGCAGCAGAATGTCTGTGGAAGGGGCGGGGCATATCTGCGACATCTACGCAGACGACCTGGTTTCGAAGCATTTAGTCCTTGATGTGGGTGAGCTCGGTTTGAACCGACCTGTGGTCCTTTGCTCCATGTCTCTCCCCCTCTCTCATACCCCCTTTCCTGTCAGCTTACTGTCTAGAACACAAGCCAAAAAGCTGAAAAAAAAATACAACTATATAGTTATTATGTAAAGTTATAGAGTTTCCTATTTTCAGTTTTGTTTTATATCAAATATCTTTTCTATACGTTCGGATATGAATGGTTCCAGCAAGCACATCTGGGGGATCACAGAGTATTGGACTATTATCCAGAAAACATCTGGACTGCATCCGATCTGCTGAGGCCGACTGGGGTTCAAGGAGACAGAAGCAGACATAGAAAAAGAAGCATAGATACAAAAGGCAAGGAGATACAAAGTCAGCCAGCTCCACAGGTGGCCCTGTCCTGGAGAGAAACAGGACTACACTGACAAACAGGCCGATCTCCAACATCTAGAAACAAAGGTGTTGATGGCAGCAGCACAGCTGATATTTCTCTCCAGGATGGAGTCACAGCCAAACAGGAACAGACCAGATGAAGCTACTATGAGAAAAAGCAGAGAGAGCAGAACGTTAATCGGCAGGGCAATCAATAGATTTTTGTCCATATGGGAAATTAAAATAAACCAATCTTTTTATGCATTAAAACTGGATTAAAAGCAATTCTGCATCAAGTTACACAGCTCCTTAACAGTTAAAATGTAATTTAAAAAATAACATCTGAGATTTTTAAAAATATTTATGAAGGTCAGCCATCCTTAAAAGTCCTTAAGTAGTTTTTGTGGGTTTTAAATCTCCAGTGGATGATGTCATCGGGTCTCATTCTATCGCGTAGCGACACTATGATGGAGGCTGCTCTCCTGGTGATTGGCCCGTCCCATTGATTCAGAGTCGCAGCATGAAGTTGTGTCTGGAAGGAGCTACACTGGTTTCTTTTCAAAGGACCTTAAAATGAATATCCTGGTTTTTAGTGGTTTAATATATAGACCAGGTTAGTGAAGCACTTTGGGCTGTTAGAGCTTTACTTTCATCACAATCATTTACATGAATGAAATATCACTTTGATTATTTGTTTAGTTTTTTTTTTTTTAATCAAGTTTGATGTAGATCTGGCCAATCTTTCTGCCATAATATTTACTCACCACTAGATGGCCTCAGTGAGCATTCAATGCTAAAATGCATCCAGAATTAAACTTTTGGTAACAGATTTGTTAAAGATCAGTAGACATATAGAATAGAATAGAATAGAATAGAATAGAATAGAATAGAATAGAATAGAAAATCCTTTTACTGTCCTACAATGGGAAAATTCTGGTGTTTACAGCAGCAAAACAGATTTTAGAAAAAAGTTATTAGTAATGTAGGCTATGAATACGTACGGAGTGAATTTTGTTTCAGTATTACTGTTAGCAAAAAGCCGGTTTTGTAAATGGAAATTTGAAAATGAAAAAAAAAATGCAGTCCAGAAATGAAACTTTGAAAAACTTATGAATCATAAAAAAGGCTTTGAGAGCAACTTTTCTCTTTTTTATAGGTTTTATTTTCTTCAAATTATTATTACTTTTTATTTTATAATTTTTGTATTCTAATTCACATTTAGATTTTTTTTCAACTTTCTCTTTTTCAGATTGAGTTTTATTTATTGCATTCTTTACAGATTGCATTCATGTCACTTCCAGTCAACGCTCTTTCTTGACCAATTAAACATGTTGTTGCTAATGTCCAGTAGACCAATAGAAATGCGTCTTTTCTCCTCACTCTAGAGGAAGGCCCGCCCCCAGAAAGGGCGATAATGAGGTATAGAAAACAGAATTTGAAAAGAATGTAAGACACGATCTGAAAAAAGAAATTTGAAAATCAATCAAAACAAAAAATGTGAAAAAAATGTAATTAAAAAATACCATCTGAGAAAACAACAGTAAAAAGTTATTTTAAAAAAAGTTTTCATTTGCTAGTTCAACTTCAACGTTACATTTATATTTTTACTTCTTTTTACAAAACGTGTTCCTCTCTTTTAACAATAATGGAACAAAATTAATTCCATACATTTAAAGGACTGTAGCTATAAACATAATTTTTATGTATAAAGGCTTTGAATATTACGGTTACTAATGGTCCTGATTAAAAGCTAAATGAATTTGATGTTAACCAAAGTGTTGGATTCCTCAATAAAATGATTTCAAATTAGTTTGTTCTCAGTTTGTCATTTTTTCTGAAAGCTGTTAGAATAAAAACCACAAAAATCTTTAAAGGGAAAAACGATTTGAAAGCAGATGCGGGATATGGAGTCATCTCTGTTTCATGTATTTGATCTGCCACTCAACCAGGTGAGTCGAATCTGGTTTAACCCGTGCAGATTGGAAACGGAACAAATACATGACATAGAGATGACTTACTGACTCCAGATCCCCCGTCTGTGGTGGGAGGTTCTGTTTCTGATGGACCGCAGCCTCCCGCCACAGGGAAGAGACTGTGACAGTTTGTGTCCAGGGAGCAAGGTCTTGACTGCAGTCTTTCCTGCTTGCCTTTGGGTCCTGGAGGTGTACAGTTTCAGCCAAAGCATGCAGGCGTTACAATACTTCAAATTCTTACTTCTCACCATAAGAAAAAAACAAAACAGCCCCATGTCATGCATTTAGTGAGGAGTAAAAAATTTGGTAAACTTGTATAACCCAACAGAACGTAAAAAAAAGTCTGCTGGAGCCATGGTCCAAACCCCACAGAAAGTCGGCCATTTTGGATCAAAATGCCTTTTTCTGTTATTGTCGTAAATGTTGTATCTCAGCAAATGGCTGCTGTAGCTTTTGAGTTATAGACTTCAAATTCACTGTGCATGGACTTTAGGCATAGGGGATTAATAGTTTTCAAACCAAATTTTCTACATCAAAGCATGTGGGCGTGGCCAAGCATCAAAATCTGACTTCCCGCCATACAGCATCATGGTTTTATAACCTCAATAAGCAAAGTTGGAGGAGTTCATTTTTCTGTTTCACCTTGGAACAACCTTAATTTTAAAGAGTTTGAAATTATCAGTTTAGTCCCGCCCCCTGAGATCAGGAAGTCCCATGTTTCACTGTTGAACAGCGGTGCGGGGGTCCCGGGTCACAGTAGGCTGAGTTGTGTTGTGCTGCCCTCAACACTCAGCGCCGAATGCGCCTTTAATTTGATATTATTGGAAAGGTTAGGGCCCTTGGGATGAAACCATCTTTAAGGGGTCTTTAAAAGAAAAAACAAACTACATAAAAACTCATCAAAGCAGAAAGATAAACCAGGAAACCAAACGTTTGAGTTGCATGTCTAAATCATATATTCTTTAAATTATCGGGATTAATACATTTAAAAAAAAAGTCCGGTCAGCGAGGAATAATCAATGGATCATTATTTATACCTAAAACTGATACTAAGCAGTGATTTAATGAATTTAGTGTTAATCAGTAAAAGAAAGAAAACCAATAATTTTCATTGTGATCACTGAGTCTGGGAGCGGCCATTTTTGTCCAAATATAGTAACCCCTCCCTCCTGCCATCTTCCGGCAGTGACGTCACGGTGAGGTAAGCCTAGCGCCATTCTCCCTGCTTTACAAGCTAAATCAATGGGAACTACTAGACACATCTGCAATCAACAACAATTATTGAAGATTTCCAGAGGACTTCACCATTGAAATTCTATAGTGGAAAAAAAAAAAGAGTTATTCCACCTTTCTGATTCCTGATCCTCCACGGACAGGTTTTTATCGTTGGATTGCCAACTTACAGAGGGAGGATTTGCCATCGAACTTCTGGCCAGAGAAAAAACACGTAATATGTAGCCAACATTTGGAAGAAGAATGTTTTCAAGATGATTTGGATAATAGTGCGTTGTGACAAACACCAGATACAGCACTGGGACTTGATCAACAGCCGATACCGCACCGTGACGTCACAAACCAGTAGGTGGCAGTAGTGTTCTTTGACAAACATGGATGCCTCCAGTAAAGCACATTCACATGAAAATTACTCTGAATTAAAAACACTGATCATTTATTGAACAGGATGGAATAATTTCATATTAAAAGAACTTTCAGAAGTTTGATTTCTGAATATGAGTGGGCTTTTCCTGTAAATGACCGTGATTAATACATGTAAATGTTTAAGAGGGAATAAACTGACATAAACAGTAATGTATGTAATGTGGGAGATTAGAATATGTGTTTTATCCCTTTCCTTAGTGAGAAAATAAAACAAGTTTCAAAATAAATGTCATCTTGATTCCATTAAGAGCACCAGAAGGAACTTGAGCTGAACGAAGGAAACCAAGATGCTTTAATACTGGGGAGAATGAATGAAAACAAGTGAGTCTGGTTCCAGGCATGCAGAACAGCTGGAAAAGCTGAGGGAAGGAGCCTTATTAATAAAAGAGCAAAGAGGGAGCTACATGTTGTAGAGAAATATTACTGAGAACTGAAATTCAATTCAGTTTATTTCTATAACACCAATTCACATCATGTCATCTCAATGCACTTTACAGTTCACCAGATCATCCAGTCAGATGGAAAGAAGAAGTTAATTTAATACTGAGAGAAAAAAACATCCCAAAACTGAGAAAACTAGGAAAGTCCATATGAGTCATGTGGAACTAACCGGTTTATGATCATTAATCTAGTTTAATGTCAGTTTAGCTGATTGTCAACATTGCATAAAACTCCAAAGGTTGGGATTTTCCAAAGCTGATCTCGGTCCACCTAAAAAAATCAGTTCAGTTCTGGTTAAAATAGCATGAATTCACAGCAGATTAAATCTGAACGCTCTTTAAAAAAACAAAATAAAACAAATACAGAAATAAAAACATAGATTCCAACATAATCCATTAGAAATCATGTAGACAAAACAGCCTGGCAGCAATCCCTCCACCTGATGCTGCCTGAAGCAACAGCTGTGATGAAATTCTGAACACAAACATGGCCTCCCCAGAGGTCCAATGACCTCTGACCTCCAACAGACGCTCTCTCCTGTTGAGAAATACTAAAAACTTCTGAGCGTGCTTTCACTCAGGATTCTGCCTATAAAACCAACGACAAAGACCCAAAAACTCCACATCTGGATCCTAAACATCAAAATCCAAATATGAGACAAGTCATCGTTTTGCTGGGTGAGAAAATTATATTCTGTTGTTTATTCATTCATTAAAGTTGTTGAAATATTTTATTCTATCTGTTAAATGTGTTTTAACTACAGGAAGCTGTAATGTTGACTGGCTATGAAAGAGCAACACAAAGTTTTTTTAAAAAGAAACTTGCTACCTGCTCCAGTATGGAGTGAACTTTGGTCCAGTATTCTTGCGAGCATATTACACATTTCATAAGTGGAAATTTGGAGAATAAAAAATGCAATCCAAAAACTTTAAAAAAAAAAAAACTCCTTGGTAAAAGAAAACAGTTGAGTTGAGTTGAGTTAAACTATTTTCTCAGATTTTTTTTTTTTAATCATTTTTTTCTTTCAGTTTTTTCTTTATGTTTTTACAATCTTATTTTTCAAATGTTATTTTTTTCAGGCTGATATTTGGGATTGCATTCTATTTAAATGGCATTTTTCAGATCATATTTTCTTCTGCTGGAAGTTAGCAACATTTTGATTGTTCAAGTTTGAGTTTTTGAATCAGGCTGGAGGTGGAGACAACTGAGCTGGAAAAGAATGAAACTTGTAAAACGCTACCTGATTTAAAAAAAGAAAAAAGAAATATGACAAAATTTTATTAAAATAAAAGGTTTATTTCTAGATTATCTTTTCTTCAAATATCCATTTATAATATTTTTTCTTTGCATTAATAATGGAACCAAATTCATTCCATACCCCTGGAACAAAATTGTCAAATGTTTTGAGGCGACTCAAATGAAAAACCAAGCAGTTGAGGCTATGCCTGCTGCAGCCTTAGCTGATCATCTGAACTGCAGGTGAGACTCAAGCTAAATGCTTCTGTGTTGCAGTCGTTCTGTGCGTCTGTGACGGCGTGAAGTTTGGTCAGCTCTGTCAAGGAAACCCCAGCAACAGGAGGAGGACATCCGACAGATATGGCCAAGGACACTACGGAGCCAGTCGGTGAGACCAATATTACAGTGTGTGTGGCATGCTCTGTTAGTGTTATTTCTGTGCTGTAATCATATATCACACATATAAATGGTTGTTCTGGACCAAAAGGAGGCCTGATACTCTGAAGCAACGTCGGGAGTTGTAATATTTTGAAGAGGAACCAAATACAAGCAAGAAGTTGTGGAAGATGAACTGAGGACAAAACGGAAAGTGAAACCTTAAGTACAGGGAAAACAGGAGCAAACAGTAGAGCTAAAGAGAAAACATAGGGTGCAGAAAGTAAACTAATTAAAAGGTCTGGATGAGAGAGAAATTGGAAAAACGTGGAAAACTAGAGAATTAATATAAACAACTACAGGTGCTTGGTTACAATTATTCTTATTGCCACATCGCTAGACAGGACCCTGTTAAAAAAAAAAAATTAAGACAGTAAACACACAACCATCTAGAAACACCAAGAAATAAGCAAGATAAATAAACTAGGAAATATGGTAAACCCATATTGGTAGAAATAACAGAATATGGCAAGACCCAAATGGCAAAACGAATAAGAGCCTTAAGTAAAATTAATAACATGAAATTCTTAGAGTAGAAATTAAACCTGGCAAAGAAATTCTCTGTAAAACTGGAAAGATAACATTAAAACAACATCAAATTGCAGGTCTGTCTCCCCCCCGAAATACTCCTGGATCAGCTTTTCTGATTGGTTGATGCTCTGGTGTCCAGCAGCAAAAGCTTGATTTTTATCTGTTAAAAAGACCTAAACAGTCAGTGTACTAAACTATAATGTGTTAAAGGTTAATAATGTGTTTCCTGAGAATATAAATGCATTAAAATCGTTCTTGTTTTATCTGTTCCCGATCTGTGAACAAAATGGGGATCCTACGCTACTCCGAGGAGCTAACTTCATCCGCTTTGCATTTAGACATAAATCTAGTCTTTTTGAGTTTTATGTTTTCCTTTCATGTTAACATTATGGTATATATTGCATAATCTAAAGAAAGAAACAGCTAAAAGGCAGATAAACATGGTTTAATCAGATTCTGCTCTGATCATGTCCCAATGATGACATCAGTTTAATGAAGAAAATGTAAAAAGCTTTAGAAGCATCAGAATTGTCTTACAAAAGTTATAAAATCTTTTTAAAGATGTTTATTGAGATTCTTAAGAGAGTTAAAGTCATTTTAGTATCATAATTCTGTTATTTATGGAAACATGGATGTATATCTGGTTGCACATGCACAGGACGGATCGGGTAGCGACAGCCAGAACGCGCCGCTGGTCCTGTCAACGCCGTCCCCCATAGACTTTAAATTTAAATCAGACACTTTGACGCTGAAAAGGCCCCGATGTGAACACAGTATTATCAATTATTTCTTTTTGGGGGTTTTCACGCTGACCTTTCCTCATTATTTCTACACGTCGCTGCAGTCGGCTACCTCCTTTTTTACTTCACTGTAAATACGCAGGGAGAGATTTATTTGCTAACAAACTGATAAAAACAAAGTGTAATTCATATGCCAGGGGGTCATAATAAACTTTCAGAAAAACTTTGTATCCAACATTCAATAACAATCTGAAGCTACTAATGCAAACACTCTACTCTCTAAAATGACTGATAGATGCAGCTCTGCATTTGGGTTCAAGGTTAGAGGCGCGTTCAAACGGAGGTTTTGCCAACATATCGGAACTGTGACGCTGTGTCTGGATGCCTGAGGCAGCTGCTAACAGCTGGACATCTGCTGCTTTCAGGGGAGGCAGACTTCACAAAGGTGTGGACATCGAGTGCAGCGACGGATCCGTCGTCTACGCTCCGTTTGACGTCACCCTACACGGAAAACTCACAGTCTACACTGACCGTTCCAAGGCAGCCATCAATGAGGGCATCAACCTCAGAGGAGAGGGTGGGTCTATCAGACAGGCTCTTCACTGATCCTGGTTCTGATCCTGGTTCTGATCCTGGTTCTGATCCTGGTTCTGATCCTTGGCTGATTTATCCTGCAGGTCACTGCTTCAAGCTGTTCTACGTGAGGCCGGACAAAACCACCGGATCGGTGAGGAAGGGGGAGCGTATCGGAACCATGCTGCCCATGCAGAGTGTTTACCCTGGAATTACGTCACATGTCCACGTCCAGATGTGTGACAAAAGTGACCCCACTGCTATGATTTTTTAGTGGGACCAGAGCCATGTCCTGTCACACCAGTCCAACCAGTCCATAGGATTCAGGATTCATAACTGAGTTACGGTATAAAGGATTATTCTGAATGGTTCCTTTTATTTAGAACATCTCAGGTTTTTAATTTGACTTTCACCAGGTTTTGGAAACCTGTTTTATGTAATAAAATATTACAGATAATACCCAGAAATAAAACTTTAAAAACTCAAAAAGTTTTTGAGTGTTTGCTGTTAACTCTAATTTCATTTTTTAAACAGTTTTTTTTTTCAAATATATTTTTTTCAAATATCACTTTTTCAGATTTTGTTTTACAAATGACATGGTTTACACATTGAAAATATGTAAAAAAAAAAACTGATATTTGGGAACAAAATATTAAAAAAGAAAAAAATAGATATGAATAGAATTGAATAAAATGATGTGGAAAAACTAGAATCTGAGAAAACATATATTGAATGTTATTATCGTTTTTGTTTCAAGCAAAGATCCCATTTTGTGAATGGAAATTTGAAGATTAAACAAACAAACAAACAAACAAAAATGTTGTCCATTATTTTTATTTTTCAGATTAAAATTTTTCAAATTCTATTTTTTATAACTTAAAAAGTTTTGTTTTACAGATTTAATCTTTCTTAAATTTCTCTTTTTCAAATTGAGTTTCACAAATCTCCTTATTTTTAAACTGTGTAATCCAGAGGCCTGTCCCACCAAGCGAGCTCAACATTTTTCTTCCAGTTTATCCAGTTTAATCCCCAACAATCAGGATCGGTGGTACCAACAAGTGGCTTCAAGCCAACTGACCAATCACAATCATGAGCGCAGAAGGCAGAGCGCCGTATTTCTGCTGAAGAACATAAAGTCATGTGACAGAAATACAAAGAGGAAAAAAGTCTCAATGAAGAGTCAAACATGGTGGTGGCAGGAAAGTGATGCCAAATATGGCGGCAAAGGATTGCTGACTGCGTTAATGAGGAAGTAACACATCAGAGTCATTGAACACAGCCTGCATTCCAATAACAACAGATTAATGGCGTTCCCCTTTGGAGGGAAGAGGATGAAAATGAAACATCATTGATTTGGTCAGTTGGACTTTACTCATCAACTGCATCTGGACACTTGATGCACTACTGGATAGACAGTTTTCAGAATCCCTGATGGTGAACATAAAGCTGCTGGTTGCTTAATACGGCCATGGAGTCTGTGGTACAGTGAGGGCCGCACTGCTGCAGTCGCTCTGCAACATGTGGTTCTAGGATCTGGCCTCTATATGCCAGTCTGGCCTGTGAAAACCTCATATTGTTAGCGTCTTGGTTCTCTTAAGTTTTCTTTGAGTTTCAGTTTCATGTTGATTCACATTTTTCTTTGTTTACTGGTTTTATTAGCTTAATTCCTATTTAGTTGTGTTTTAAATTTATTTAAGTTCTTAGGCTTTTCTTTGTTGTCCTCTTGTGTTTGTTTCCTTTTCCCTAGCTCCTTTCTAGAAGCCTCTGTTCACACCTGCTCCCAATCAGCTCGTTATTCATCCCTTTGTTCAGTCAACCATAAATAGTCTCCTTGTGCAGTTCCTCAGTGCTGGTTCCTCATCTCTCCCTGGCTGCATGTGTTCCTCCGATGTCTCAACGGTTCTGGTGTGTTTTAGATTTTAAGTTGGATTTTTTTGCACTCATGTCTTTGTTTACTGTGATCATTAAAACTGCAAGAACTCACCTCTGCCTCCCTGCCTCTGCACCTGGGTCCTCAAACCTCACCAAAAACAGACACTTTTTGTCATAGGGATGCAACGGACCTTCTCACAATTTATGCTCTAATTTTTTATTTCATAGATTTTATTTCTTTATTTGGCTTCATATAATAATTATACGAGAAACTAGTGAATGCCAGCAGTGCATGAGGACATTATACAGGAGAAAACTAATACAGAGTAGTAAAAGTGTTAGGATTAGGTGTCAGAAAGCGGTGTTGGTTTGGAGGACCCGAATGCAGAGACGAGTTGGCAGAGGTGAATTTAAGTGGTTTAATAAGGTTCACAGGCACTGAGGCAGGAGGTTCACAGGCACTGAGGCAGGTATCAAAAAATCCAACAAAAAATAACTCCCGAACCAGAACCTAGGAGACATCAGGGGAAAACCAAAATCTAGGAACCAGGAAGAGACGAGGAAGGCAGACAGATGATTGACCAGAGGTTAGACGAGAAGTTAGACGAGGATCCAGCAAACAGGAACTGAAGAGGGAGGGCTTTTAAAGGGGACAGAGACAGGGATAGGGCTAATGAGGGAATTGAAAACAGGTGAGGGCTGAACAGAAAACAGAGCAAGAGAAAGAGGACACAAGAGGGCAACAGAGGACAACAAATGGAAAACCTGGAAGACAGGAACTAATAAGAAAACAACAACAAAATAATAATCAAATAACTAGGATAAAGAAACATGGTGAAAAGAAAACTAAACACTAGAAATCAAGGAGCAAAAGAAAAACATAACAGAAACAGAAACCTAACAGTAACCCCCCCTCAAGGGTGGATTCCAGACGCCCCCAGAAAAGTCCAAGAAAAACAAAAAACAACCCACCCAGGGTGGGCGGAGGGGAAACTAGGCAAGGAGGGCAAGAAAACACAAAAAAAGAGTCCACAACAAAAAAAACAACCCACCCAGGGTGGGCGAGGGCAACAACAGGTCTCTGGAGGCCGGCCCTAGGGCCGGAGGCGAGGAAGAGTCTCTGGAGACCGGCCGTGGGGCCGGAGGCGAGGAAAAGTCTCTGGAGGCCGGCCGCGGGGCCGGAGGCGAGGAAGAGTCTCAGGAGGCCGGCCGCGGGGCTGGAGGCATGGCAGACATTCTGGATGCCGGCCGCGGGGCCGAAGGCGTGGCAGACGCTCTGGAGGCCGGCCGTGGGTCAGGCGACGAAGGAGGGCCACTGGAGGACGACGTCTCCGTTGCTGCAGGAACCTCGGAGGACAACGACATCTCCGTTGCTGCAGAAACCTCGGAGGACGACGACGTCTCCGTTGCTGCAGGAACCTCGGAGAAGGACGACGTCTCCGTTGCTGCAGGAACCTCGGAGGAGAACGACGTCTCTCTTTCTGCAGGGACCTCAGAGGAGGACGCCGCCTCCGTTTCAGCAGGTAGCTCCAAGGGGAACGCCGCCTCCTTTTCGGCAGATAGTTCCAAGGAAGACGCCGTCTCCGTTTTAGCGGCTCAGGAACAGGCTCAGAGGGGACCGCCGACTGCGGCTCAGAAACAGGCTCAGAGGGGGCCGCCGACTGCGGCTCAGGTACAGCCTCTGAGGGGGCTTGAAACGCCTGCCGAGGGCTCTTTGAGGCTTGGAGCGCCCGCAGAGGTCTTTTGGAGGCTTGTAGCGCCTGCAGAGGGCTATTGGAGGCTTGGAGCGCCCGCAGAGGGCTCTTGGAGGCTTGGAGCGCCCGCAGAGGGTTCTTGGAGGCTTGGAGCGCCCGCAGAGGGCTCTGGGAGGCTTGGAGCGCCCTCAGAGGGCACATGGAGGCTTGGCGCGCCCGCTAGGGGGCTCTTGGAGGCGTACTTCCACATACCCCGAACTCTGAAGCCTCTTTGAATGCTGGCTCAGGGGTCTCTGGAGGGCACAGAGCAGGCTCAGGGGTCTCTGGAGGGCACAGAGCAGACTCTGGGGTCTCTGGACGGCACAGAGCAGGCTCAGGGGTTTCTGGAGCTAGGCTAACTGGTTCGCTAACGGGTTCAGGCGCTAGGCTAACTGGTTCGCTAACGGATTCAGGCGCTAGGAAAAATGGACTGTTATTGGGTTCTGAAGCTAGAGAAACTGGAACGCTGACGGGCTCTGAAGCTAGAGAAACAGGAACGCTGACGGGCTCTGAAGCTAGAGAAACAGGAACACTGACGGGCTCTGAAGCTAAGGAAACTGGAATGCTAACGGGCTCTGAAGCTAGAGAAACTGGAACACTACCGGGCTCTGAAGCTAGGGAAACTGGAAGGCTAATGAGTTCTGGAGCTGGGGAAACTGGAACGCTGACGGGCTCTGAAGCTAGAGAAACAGGAATGCTAACGGGCTCTGAACCGGGATCTGGCTGGCGGGGAGCTGATGGAGGTGGCAGGAAAGAGAAAAGATCTTCCCTCTCCCCATAAAAGAAGCTCCAGAGATCTGACTCAGGTATATAGGGAGCTCTGACTGCGTGGGGTGTGACAAGTGGACCTAATTTGAGTTTTCTGGTGGATGGTACTAACTGTTGGTCAAGAAGGTGTTTAAAGAGACGGAATGAACTGACCTGGTGAGGATGGGGACTGAGGCTTGCAGCTGGCTGAACTACCGGAAGAGTGGAGGCGTCAGGCTGACACGCCGGAAAGGGAGTGGAGGCGTCAAGCCGACCTGCTGGAGAGGGAGTGGAGGCGTTAGATTGACCCGCCGGAGAGAGAGTGGAGGCGTCAGGCTGACCCGCCGGAGAAGGAGAGGAGGCGTCAAGCTGACCCGCCGGAGAGGGAGTGGAGGCGTCAGGCTGACCCGCCGGAGAGGGTGTGGCCTTCTTGCCATGGCGGCGGTTCCTACGCCTGGAGGAGGCAGAAGGCAGGGGGGAACCAACAGCTGCTGAAGGTGGAGGTACGGGTTCAGAGGTTGGTGGAAGCTGAGTGAGGTCTTTGAGTGGTGGTTTGGGTGGTGAAGGTTTATTGAATAATTTAGCAAAAGTGTCCTGAATGTTCCATTTAATTTGGTCGAAATATCCGATTTGAAGAAAGAAAGTCTGGAGTCCTGGATGTTTATTTAGTTGAGAGAGGAGAGATTCTGCTGTTGCTCTCCGCTCCCAGGGTGGAGAGATGCTGGAGAGATTGTTTATGGAAAGTCTGAGGAGTTTGAGGAATTCCCTAGCCTGGTGTTCTGCTGGGTCCATGTTGGCTGGATCCTTCTGTCAGAAAGCGGTGTTGGTTTGGAGGACCCGAATGCAGAGACGAGTTGGCAGAGGTGAATTTAAGTGGTTTAATAAGGTTCACAGGCACTGAGG